ATCTGCTACTGTGTTTGTTTTTCCTGGCCAATAGTGAATGTCGAAAGAGAATCCCATTAGTTTGGACATCCACTTTTGTTGTCCGAAGTTTTTATTTGCTGGTCCGTGAGAAATTGTAGGCACCTTTGGTAAGTTCTAATGATGAATCGTTTGCCCAATAAATACGGACTCCACTTATGCACTGCAAAAATTATGGCCATTAGTTCTCGTTCATATACAGATTTCTATTGTGCTTGTGGTGAAAAGGCTTTGCATAGGTAAGCTACGGGTCTTGACTGCTGGACCAAAACTGCGCCCATTCCATGACCTAAAACATCAGTCTGAATTTCAAAGGGAAGTGTAAAGTTTGGTACTGCTAAGACTAGAACTGTAGTCATAGCTTCCTTGAGTCTATCAAATGCCATTTGTGTCCCTTATTCCAACGAAATGGATCTTTTTTTAGCAAATCAGTAAGTGGTTGTGCAATACTGCCATATCCCTTGACAAACCTCATGTAATACCTTGTGAGGCCTAAAAACCCCTATAAACCTTTCACATTGGTCGGCATAGGCCACTTAACCATTGCCTCAATCTTGTGTGGATCTGCTTCCACTCCCTGTGCTGAAATTATATGGCTAGGTAGTCTAGTTTCTGCTAACCGAACAGACACTTCTTCTTGTTCATTGCCAGTTGGTTGTCTTGTAGAATCTTAAGGGCTTGTTCCAGATGGGTCACATGAGAATCAAGATCAGGACTGTAAATCAGAATATCATCGAAGAAAACCAGCACAAATTTCCTTAAAACAGGTTTAAAAATAGCATTCTTCAGTGCTTGAAAGGTTGACGATGCATTAGTTAGGCCAAATGGCATTACTAGGAACTCATAATGGCCGTCATGAGTTCGGAAGGCCGTTTTGTGAATATCCTCCTCCTTCACTTGAATCAGTGGTAACCAGATCGTAGATCAATCTTTGAAAAGGAAACAGCCCCAACTAATTCATCAAGCAACTCCTCGATGGTGGGTATATGAAATTTATCGGGGATAGTTATCTCATTAAGTGCCCTATAGTCAACACAAAATCTCCAACTCCCATCCTTTTTTTTTTGGACTAATAATACTGGGCTGGCAAAAGGGCTAGTGCTAGGCTGGATGATTCATGGTACCAACATTTCTCCTAACATTTTCTTTATTTCATTTTTCTGGAAATAAGGGTATTTATAGGGGCGTATATTGGGTGGTCGAGCTCTTGCCTTCAAGACTATGGCATGGTCATGCTGTCGGTGTAGGGGTAGTTTAGTGGGTTGGTCAAACAATTGGTTATATCCTTCCATTAATGACACAATCCTAGGATCGGTGGGTTCTCCATCTTGTTCTGGCACCCCTTCCATAGAGCAGAATTCGACTTAGAGGTGGAACAAATGGGCCAGGTTAGGCGGGTCAACCCTAACCCGGCCCGTAATGAAGTGGGTTGAACCTGGACCGCCAATATGGCGGTTCGGGTTGAACCCAACCAGGTAGCAACCCCCGGGCGGGCCGGGTTGCAAAATGGCAACCCACAACCTGGTGGGTTGCTGTTTTGTCTCTTTTAAAAGAGACTCGCCAACTCGCCGGGTTGGCTGTGCGGGTTGACCTGCGGGTTGGCCGAAAAAAAAAAAATTTTAATTTTTTTTTCAAATTACCCCTTTACCCTTGAAATATAGCCGTTGGAGGGGTCTTTTTTTTCATTTTTCTTTCCCCTTTTTGTTCTATAAATTGGCCCTAAACTCTCACATTTTTCTCACAACTCAAATTCTCTCATTCTCTCATATTCTCTAATCTCTAATCTCTCAATTATTCATTTATTCTCTTAATCTCTTTGTTATCAATTTGCTTGTATTTTAATTTTTATTAGTTTTTGCAATTTTTAATTCATTTTTCCAATTTTCCAAATTCCAATTCTCTTTCTTTAATTTTTATTTCTTCTACATTAATTTTTTTTTTCAACTACAATGGATATATATTTCTCTCCCATCAATTACAATGATGAAGGAAACTACTATCCTAGTCCTAGTCCCGCTAATTTTACTAACATAAATGTAGGAGGAGATTCAAATAGTCCCGCTTTCCCATTCTCAGAATCCGATACACCTCAAAATATGCCCCCGATTCCAACAGCTCCCGGTGGTTCTAGAAGTCGTCCTCGTAATCGTCGTGCTCGTCCAACTTCATCTCAAGCTGAGGCGGGATCATCAACTGCCGTCGAAAGCGAAGACAGACACACATCAGACGTTTGGGCGCATTTCGACAAGTTTTACGAGATAGAAAATGACATTCAAGTCAAGAAAGCGAGATGCAAATACTGTGGAAATATTTATAAAGCTGATTCAGGTAATGGTACTAGTACTTTAAAAAGGCATGCTAATAAACATATTAATCAACATGGAAATAGAGAAAACAATCAAACTCAAATAACTAATATGGGTACTAATTGGCGTTATAATTTTGATGTATATAGGGAACAGTTAGCTTTATATATTGCTGCAACTGATCAACCTATTAATATGGCTGAAGATAAATATTTTGAAAGATTTGTTCAAAATTCATTTTTTCCAGGATTTAAAAGTTATTCTAAAACTGCAACTAGAAATGATTTAATAAAATTGTTTAAAAAAATGAAATTAGAATTAAAAAATAAAATACATACTTGTCATGTTAGTGTGGCTCTAACTGCCGATATTTGGAGTGGTAGAGCTAAACAAGATTATATTTGTGTGACTAGTCATTATTTTGATAATAAATGTAAATTAAATAAATCTTTATTAGGATTTAGATTAATGGATGTTGATCATAGTGGTGAACAAATTTATAATAAAATTGTTGAAGTTTTAGAAGATTATGATGTTGTTAGTAAAGTGATAAGTTTAACTTTAGATAATGCAAGTTCTAATAGTAAAGCTATAGATTATTTTCAAAGTAATTATCCTTTATATAACAATTTGAAGTTTTTTCACCAACGTTGTGCATGCCATGTTATTAATTTAATTGTGAAAAGTGGTATGAAAACAATTAAAGAAAATATTAATAGAATTAGAGATTGTTTAGCTTGGATTACTAGTAGTAATAAAAGAAATGCTGAATTTCAAGACGCTTGTATAAAATCAAATATGTCTCCTAGAACTTTTGCATTAGACATGCCTATTAGATGGAACATTACTTATTTAATGCTTGATTCATGTTTACCTTATGCTAATATAATTAGTTATTTTGTAGCAAATAATAAAGGTCCTCATTATTTGGTAGAAAATGATTGGCAAATAACTAAAGTATTTTATTCTTTTCTTAAAACTTTTTACCAATCCACTTTACAACTTTCTGGTGTGTATTATCATACTAGTCCATTGGTAATACATACAATTATAAAAATTTCGGAGTTATTTATAAAAAACAAAGACAATGTAATTTTAAATGCACCAATAAAGGCAGTGGAATTTTTTTTTTAAAAAAATATTGGGAACCCCTTCATTTTCTTCATTGTTTAGGTGTTATATTTGATCCTAGAATTAAATTAGCAGGTTTAGAAAATGGTTTTGACAATTTATGTGAAAATTTACAAACCGAAGTATATGCCAATCAAATAGAAGAGGTAAAAAATACACTTTTCGAAGTATATTTCCAATATGAAAACAGGTATGGGAACCCGCAAAGAGGCGAAACATCAAGGGAAGCTGCATTAGAAGAAACAAATGAAGACTTCTACTCTTAGGGTGCACTGAATAGGCTTAAGAGGACCCGAATCCGAAGCACAGCCTCCTCTTTAGAAGCTCCACCAACAACAACAACTAATGTACTGTCTTCCATGCAGTCGCAGAGTAATGAGCTTCAATAATATTTGGTAACCCCTGAAATGTTACCAGTAGATCCACAACAGAGAGCCAACATTGATCTCTTAGACTATTAGAGAGCCAGAAAATGTATTTTTCGGGTATTATCAAGACTTGCCTTGGATGTTTTCGCTGTTCTTGTCTCAACCGTCTCATCCGAACAAACATTTAGGGCAAGTGGAAGAATTTTAAATGAAAGGAGGACTAAACTTTCACCAAAAATGATTGAAGTCCTCACATGTCTTTGAGATTGGGAACGGTTGCGTCATCAAGGTCAATACGAGGTTGTCGACGATACTTTAATAGAATCATTTCAATTTTGTAATATAGATGATACGGATGAAGAAGGTCCTAATGAACCCCAAAATTAGTTGTTTTGTAAATTGTAACTTGTAAATTAATTTTCAATTATTGCACTCTTTTTTCCTTACCAAGTTTTTGTCCTATTGGGTTTTTCTTGGTAAGGTTTTTAACGAGGCAATAATTATTGTAATTTCTTATTTTATTTTTTAATAAATGAATAACTTTAATTATTCTTATATTACAATTTCAATGTATTAAAATTGAATTAATATTTGGAATGTTAACAAAAAAAAAAAATTTAATTTAATTTAATTATTGATATTTGAAAAGAAATTAACAATTAACTAAAAAAAATTACATTTATTCATTTATAAATTGTTAATTATTCATTTGAAAAGTTAATTAAACATTTAAACTTAAACAAAATAAAATTAAAAAAAAAAAAAAATCAAAAAGAGGGTTAACCTGGCCCAACCCACGGCCTAACCCGGCGGGTTAGGGTTGACGGTCTGGGTTGGGCTAGGCAATTCCCCAACATTGGCGGGCCTAACCCGGCCTGCCAATGTTGTCGGCGGGTAAAAGCAACTCGTCGCGGGTCGATTCGGGCCAGGCGGGTTGCTTTTCCACCTCTAATTCGACTAAATAGCCTCCTCTAGTGGACTGGAGTGACCTTAACATGGCTTTTAGAGATATCACTGTTTTAACCAGGGATGGATCTCCCTGTAGGCTCACCCTTCTACCTTCCCATTCAAATTGCATTGTTAGGTTTTTCCAGTTTGCGCAGATATCACCCAGAGAACTCAACCACATCACCCTTAGAATAGCATCCGCTCCACCCAACTCAAAAGAAAAGAAATCCTAGGTAATCCTGACGCCTTGAACTTCCAGTGGTACTGCCCTACAAACTCCTTCTCCTCTCACTGTGACACCATTACCAACCATTACCCTAAACCTTTTTCCTGTTTCAATTTGCATGCCCAGTTTGCGCACCAAGTCGTGAGAAATAAAATTGTGGGATGCCCTACTGTCAACCAACATAATAACTCCCACCCCTTCAATCTCCCCCTTTATTTTCAGAGTCTTGTTAGAGGTGATTCCCACAATAGAGTTCATGGATAGAGCTAGAGGGTTACCTTCAGTATTGGGTTCTTCATCGTCATCTGGTACTGTTTCGCCCTTCTCTGGATCCTCATCTTCCCAAGCTAATAGGATCTACAGAGATTTGCTCCTACATCGGTGGTTAGGGCTGAATTTTTTGTCACACCTAAAGCAAAGTCCCTTCTCCCTTTTAAGTTGGATTTCTGCTTTAGTTAGTCGATGAAAATTCTCGCCTCTGGAGCTCGAAGCTGTCGTTGTTGGTGGAACTTCTCTCCTGTTGCTAGATCGCGTTGACGATGAGTGGCTTTCTCCTAGGATTTTGGTGGTATTGAACCACAAACCGGGTCACCCCAATTCTGGGCTTAGAGTGACCCGTTAGTATCCTTTTAATTTAACATTTTGGACTCTAGTCATTTTGGGCCTAATTTTCTCTAGCACCCAGTTTTTTTCTTCAACCTGATAGGCCTGCTCCATCACTTCACCCACATCCTTGGCCTGTATAAGAGGCAACTCAGCCCTGATTTCTTCTTTCAGTCCATTGATGAAGATTCCCATCAGCATCTCCTCTCTTAATTCTTTCAACGGCGCTGTATGTGCTTCAAATTCTTCACGGTACTTTGTCACTGAAGCAATCTGTCTTAGTGCTACCAGTGCCTCATAGGCTGTCCCTTGAAAGGATGGTCTGAATCTGTCAATTAGAGCCACTTTGAAGTCCTTCCAACTCTGGACTGGTCTTGGGGATTCAAGCCATTGATACCAGTTTAAGGCTCTTCCTTCCATGCACATGGCTGCTGCCTCCACCATCTCCTTCTCTTTGTATTGATTAATGGCGAAGTATCTGTCAGCCTTGAAAGTCCAGCCAAATGGATCATCTCTGTTAAAAATGGGTTGCTCGAGCTTGCGAATTTTTTTGTCATCTTTCCTGTTATCCCTACTGTGATTTCTTTCACATCCCTTATCTATGCCAGAATTCTGATTTACTGGCGTTTCAGACATTTTCTCTGGTAACGTTTTTCCTCCCTTTCTTCCCTTAGCCTCATCAACTCTCGCATCTCTGTTAAGTACTCCTTGACACTACCCAAATCAGTCTTTATCGTGCCCATATCTTCCTTTATGTTCCTCATCTCTTTCTCCACATTTTCCATTCTGTTTTCCATTTTGGATTTTACCATTACCCAACCAAGCTCTGATACCAAGTTGATGGAACCACCTGTTCAAGTAAATCAATCCAAACACACACACAAGAGCAGAATTGAATAACACTCAATTGGATTTAACTGAATGCTAGTATTGAAAACTGAATGAAATAATAGTAACAAGAAAAGTGACCCCATAATAATTCCCAGCAATTCGACGAGCTGGAGACCTCCCACAATACTTATCTGAATCAACTTGATATCTCCTTTACCACTCCCTAGCTATTTATTCCCAACTACTTCCTATACCACCCTTACCCTAACAACTTTATTCTATCCAGTCACATGCATGCAGAATCCTGTAACAAATTATAACAACCCTCACTTACACTCATAACAAACTGTAACAACCTTTACTCGCACTCATAACAAACTGTAACAACCCTCACTCACACTCATTTCCCCTTAGTGCTCTCTTTTTATGCCCCTTTGACTTATAGACTATATTGATAGGAGGTGGTGGTCTATCAGTTTTTAACTATAATGTCTTAAAGAATATGGATGCATGGCAGGGGCTGCTCAATCGGATCTACCTGTTGGAACAGTTGACATGACAACATTGCAGTGTAGAGAAATATGGTCTGGTGTTACATATGCAGTTGCTGTAATGATGATCCATGGAGATTTGGTCGATATGGGGATTTCAGAGTGCCATTGAATTCTGTGAAGTAGCATGGTGTGAAAATGGACTCGGGTAAGATCCCCCTAAGGTTATCAAACGGTGTTATCTTCTAGCTTAGTTAATAGGCTGTTAAATAAGCTATGAGTCTATGTTTTTTAGATCTAAATTTGTCTCAAATCTATATAGACTTATTGCAGCATCTGTTTTGTCATTTCATTTAACTTTTTTGGTGGATGTGGCATTTAACAATTTTCTGGTAGGTTCTTGATGCTGTGAAATGTTGGACAAAACTCCAATAGTTATAATGTCTAGTAGATAATATTTTGGCTACTTAGGTGATAGAGGGGGAGAAGAATAATACAGATAGATAATATAGAATTAAGTCTAGATAAGGAGATAGAGAGAAACTAATAGGTTAAGAGGAGAAATCAAGAAAGGGATACCAAGGAATCAATCCTGAAGTGTAGAAGATAAGGACTAAGTACCCATTTGCATCCTTCCTTTATGTCAAATAGGTGGAGTTGTGTGCATATTCTTCAAAATTCGAGTTGGCTCCTGTCAGATGATATTGAGGGAAGTTCGTCTTCTTTATGAAACTAAAAAGTTTTTATGGCGATGTAAAACTACAAGCTCAAATAATCCATGATTCTTCATACATGGCTTTGAGATCCCCATTTCGTTCGTCTTCAATCTCTCAAAACCCATCTTTGAAAAGGAATATTTCATCTTTGTTAGCTCAATACACAACCTCACAACATCAAGCTCCAAAAATGAAGTTTTGTATTGTTTCGAAAAACCCCTTGAACGATCCTCACTTGCAAAATTCCTCAAAGAAAATTGTCAATCAGGTAACTTTACTCTGAATGAAGCATTGAACTTCTTTTATTACATGATTAATTCGCAACCCATTTCTCCAATTTCATCATTCACTACATTGTTTAGTGCACTTGCGAAGAAAAAGCATTAAATGAGGTGATTTCGCTTTATAAGTGGTTTAATTCAACTGGGTTGTCTCCAAATTTGATTTCTTTTAATGTTTTGATTAATTGCTTCTATAATATTGAAAGGGTTCCGGATAGTTTTGCGGTTTTTGGGGTGATTTTGAAGAAGGGTTTTTAGCCTAAATTTGGTGACTTTTAATTGTTTGATCAAAGGTCTATGCATAAAGAGAAAGATTATGGAGTTGATGGAGTTGCTTAAGAAAATGGTTGTTGTTGGTTGTAGGCCTGATGTGATCACTTATGGGACTTTGATTGATGGATTGTGTAAAACAGGGAAGATAAGTATTGCCATTAAGTTGCATGAAGAAATGGCTAAGGGAAATGAAGAATCTGGTTTTATTTGTATGTCAAATGTTGTTACCTATAATATTATAATTAATGGTCTTTGTAAGGATGGATTAATTGAGAAGGCTAGACAATTGTTTTTGGAAATGAAGAGTTTGGGAATTAGTCCAAACAAAGTAACTTATACCGTTCTAATTCATGGTTTTTGTCGTGTGGGTGATTGGGAGATTGTTAAAAGTTTATTTATATCGATGATGGATCAAGGTGTGCAGCCTTGTGTGTTAACATTTAGGGTGGTCATAGATTTTCTTTGCAAGAAAAGGAAATTGGACGAAGCAAATACGTTGTTGAAACTTATGATCCAACAAGGTGTGGAACTTGATGCTTATATTTAAAGCATTTTAATGAATGGTTATTGCTTGGCAAGTAGAATTGGTTATGCAAGGGAGTTGTTTATTCTATAACTAGAGAGAGTTATAGAGCTGATGTTGTATGCTACAGTACTTTAATCAAATTGTATTGCAAGAACAAAATAGTCAATAAAGCTCTTAGTCTTTATCGAGAGATGATTTCAGAAGGAATCAGGCCTAATGTGGTTGTATATAACACATTGATCTATTGGCTCTGTAAAAGTGGACAATTAGAAAAGGCAAATGAGTTTTTAACTCATATGGAGGAAGAAGGTTGTGCTCCAGATGAGGTCACTTTTGGTATGCTGATGTTTGGTTTCCTAAAAAATAACGAGATACCAAAAGTTGTTGAACTCCTTCATAAGATGACAGAGAGAAAGACTGAATTTACGATGTCCTTAGTCATGCAGTTACTAATGAAGGCCGAAAATTACCATGAATGTTTGAACCAGCTTCCTCAATTTCTAGTCCGAAAGCGAAATTGAAGTTTACGTGATAAAAATTTTATAAGTATTCAACTTTTTTTGGAGTAGAATCCTGCAAAAGTTCACTCAACTGCTCAAATGCTCTATTTTGGTTACTGTAAGAAGAATGTTCAGTTAACACTTTCATTTGTTCTAATTTGATAGGGATGGTGATGGGGATGATTGACAATAATGGCTTCCTTGATTTGACATACGATACGTGATCTATTTCTATTGTAATTGCATATAGTAGAGGTGGTAGCATTGTAGGCTGCGTCAGCATTTGCACATGAAGTAGGTCTTAAGGGTTTGAGGATTATTTCTAGTGCAAATTTCAGTAAGCAAAAGTTGTATATGAGAAATTGGGGAATGGTTCTTACTTGAACTACGACAATAATGGTAGTCACTCAAGTTCATTTGTTCAAGCTGATAAGTTTATTTTGATGGTGGTATGTTGCATGATTAATGTCATTCATTGATATTCTCAAATATCCGGGCCTTATAAATCTTGGTTTAGTTATAGTGTTTCACATGTTTCTTTTTCTCAATATATATATTTTTTAGTTCAAATCTGATAAGACTAGAACTTACGAAGCGTGTCTCTAATGTAGTTATGCACGAGCATGTGCTCTTTAAATGATAGCCGATGAAGACAAAGCAAGAAGAGCATTAGAGAAGGTTTTAAACTATAACGTCTTAAAGAATACAGATGCACAGCAGGGGCCGTCAATGGGATTCATTTGTTGGAACTGTTGACATGACAACATTGCAGTCGAGAAATATGCTTTGGTCTTTTGTGTTACATATGCAGTTGTTGTAACGATGATCCATGGAGATTTTGTCGATATGGGATGTCTAAGCGCCATTGAAATCTATGAAGCAGCATGGTCTGAAAATGGACTCGGTAAGATCCCCCTAAGGTTATCAAATGGTGTCATCTTACAACTTAGTTAGTAGGCTTTTAACTAAGCTATGAGTCTGTGTTTTTTAGATCTAGATCTGTCTCAAATCTGGATTGATTTCATTGAAACATCTTTGTTGGAGTCCCATACTGACTAGGCACGCTCAAGCTTACTGGCTTATAAGAGGCGGTAATTCTCCCATTCAATAAGGCCTTATAGGGTGAGGAGTCAACCCCATCTCAAACCATCAACAGGATGTGAGGGGGAGTGTTGGAGTCCCACACCGACTAGGCACGCTCAAGCCTACTGGCCATTCAACAAGACCTTATTGGGTGAAGAGTCAGGTCCATCTTAAATTTTATCAATCTGTTTTGTCATTTCATTTAACTTTTTTTGATGGATGTGGCATTTAACCATTTTCTGGTAGATTCTTGATGTTGTGAAATGTTGGACAAAACTCCAATAGTTAGAGCATCTCCAATGGTGTTCTTTATTTTAAAGAGTGTCTTTCATATCAATAAAGAGCATCTTCATTGATTTTTAAATATGAAGAACAAAATTTTTATTCAAATCCAATAGACTCTTTAAATTTTAGGAGAGTGAATATGTTTTTTAAAAAAAGAAACTTAATAGGAGAGAGAAATCATAAACAAAATGCATAGAAACTTGCAATTTATTATTTAAAATTAGGATAGAGAGTGAAATTTGACTCTCTAAATATGGAGAGTCAAACTCACTCTTTAATTTATATTTAAAGAATAAATAGTCTGTTAGACTCTTGTTTCTATGGATAAACTCTTTATAATAAAAAGTTACTTCTTATTAACTTAATTGACTAATTAAGCACATAATTAACTCTCTCTATGCCGCAAAAATCCCTGAAGGTGCCCACATAAAACATTTATTAGTTAAGGAACCACAATCAAATCTAGATACACAAAAGAGATGTATGTTAAAAAAAAAAAAAAAAAAAAAAGGAAGAAAGAAAGAAATACACTAAATCCCCTCAAGAGAAGTGAGTACAATTACAAACCCTTTTAGCAAAAGCTTTTCTAGTACTTAATTAACTTATAGTAAACAAACCCTTAAAGAAAAAGTGTATGATGAGCTAAAGGA